GGGGAGAGAATTTTGGTGCTATGGTAAAAATAAATATAATAATAATAATGGAAATGTTATTATACATGTGAGTTGTATGAATCTTAGCTCTGTTTTTACAGTACATTTCCTACTCCTTTAACAATATTTTTAAGATAAATTCAAACATAGAAAACATGAAGTAAACCAAAATGATTAACTAGTTTAACTCCCAACAGTTTATTTTATATATACCACCAATCACATGCAAGGTTAATTTGGCAATATTAAATAAATATCTGGAAAACATATCCAAACCATAAAACCATCACACATTTCAAAAAGTTGGATAATTTAATCAGACAAAGCTAAGTTTAAGAAAGACAAAACTAAGTTTCTTTCAGCATTTAGGAATGCTGGTAGAATTCGTAATGGAAGTGCTGAATGTATACTGAATGTTCTACAATATTTATTTAGTATTTTGTAGGGGAAAATTTAATTATTGTGGCATTGAGATACCATGGCTAAACCTATATAATGACCATCATATACACAGGATTTATCCTAAAATTTGTGTTGAGCCTGTGAATAAGAGAGCAGTTGGCATTTTTTCCACATTTTCGTTTGTGACTGCTGATGTATGCACTGAAACTGTTGAAAACTGATTTGATAACAAAATCCTATTCTATTGCATTGAAAATATATTTGTATTTTAGCTTGAAAGTTTGCCTTAATTAATGTGGGAGAATATGGTAAGACCCACACAATATATATCTATATTTTCATTTACCTTAATCTTTCTCTGTGGAGCTTAAGTGATATACTTCTGAAAATAAAAAAGCAGCTTCAAGCAAAGACCAGCCCTCCTTGAGTTAAAATTCTGCAATCATGTGATCATGTCTGAGTCACATGTTTGCTTTCCACAAGCTATATAGACCAGCTCAGGTACAGTCAAATATATTCTACTGAGGCCAGTAGATTCCAAATTCATTGTAACTTGTAGTTTTCTTTGCATTTGCTTATGAAATCCATGTAGTTATTTATATGCACATTTATATTTCATCATTTTTTTTTCTGTTTTCAAAATGAAAAATGGTGATACCCCAGCATCGGTTGCCTCAATTTCCTTCAGTGTTATGTGCTCAGTAAGCCAGATTCACTCCATACTGGTGTGGGCAATAATGCAGAGATCAAAGGGTGATGGTGGCTTGTGTTCCCCATTGCTGGGGACTGGCATAGCCCCCTTGCACAGGTTAGGGCAGCCCTTAATTTGCATCCCTGCTGCAATAGCCCTTATGAGCTGTTGTGCAGTATTGCATATTACTCAAAGTATTGGTTTGCCCTTGCCATGGCAAGCCTATCTCCACGAGTCC